CTTATTTTTCATGTGCCTGAGCATAGTCTCCGAGAGGGTTTGCTCCATGATCTTGCCAGGCACGGAGGTGAGACTGACTGGCCTGTAGTTCCCTGGGTCTTCCTTTTTAGGCTTCTTAAAAATGGGGGTTATGTTCCCCCTCTTCCAGTCGGCGGGAACTTCGCCAGACTGCCAGGACTTCTCAAATATGATGGAGAGTGGTCTGGCCACTTCATCCGCCAGTTCCCTGCAGATGCAACTCATCAGGTCCCATGGACTTGTGCACCTCCAGGTTCCTTAGATATTCTCGAACTTAGATAGTCACTTAACAGAAATGGCAAGATTACTAAATGGAGAGCTTGGCCCTTATTCTTGGGTGGAGTGAGTACAGTAAATCCCTTCTCTATAGCTACTATGGAAGCTTTTTTCCTGTTAGTCTGGTGTTACCACTTATTCTCAAACACCTCACAGAGAGGGTTGATTACGTCTTGGTCTGATATTAGGACTTTGCTTCATTTATTTCTGTTCTTGTGGTCTGTGTGGTTGATTTTGCTTTTAATTATTTAACTCCTGAGAGCATTGGCAGCCAGATAAATGTTTACCAAGATATGCATATGCACTTTATTACTCTTAAGCTCTCCAGGGTTAGGTGGAATACACAGAACAATAGATTATTAGAGAAAGTGGAGTCTAATATTTAAAAATATACAACTGAACACCTGCTGTTGAGTGAGAATTGTTTATAATATAATGCTGAAACTGTTGCCTGACTTGCATAAAATAAAGTTAATTCTGTAATCAGTGTGTGTTCATGAGTTAGAAGAATGCTTATTTGTCCTAACTCTGTAAGTGGATCTCTGCACAGAATATGTTAAGTAAGAATAAATATTTTTCTGAAATTAAATTGATCATTCCTGTATATGTGTTTCACATATTTGACACTTGATGTGTATGATGAGTGTAAGGAGTTCTATATAGCTCACAGTGGAGTGATCTTAGTAAATGAATTTAAAGCAGTTTCCTATTTAACTTGCAATAAGAATATAAAGAGACTTCTTATTCATGTTGTTTTGATGCTTTAAATGTCATTCTATAAAACACAAACTGAACTCGTTGCCTCTCCTAATTAGCCATTCTTATGCCATATGTGCATTTGCATCCATAAAATGAGTTTATTAACTTAAACTCTGAATTATTTTGAGTTATTCATTATGAGGAAGCATAATGATGTTGAGGCACTGCCTGTAGTAGATAGTAAATTAAGTATTCTCAAACACAGCATTATGCGATTGCGGAAGTGCTGGTTGGAAGGGACTGCTGGAGGTCTCTGTTCCATCCTTTTGCTTGAAATGAAACCATTGCCCAGTTCTAGGTTAGGTCAGCTGTGACCTTGTCTCAATAATGCCAGAAAACCTCCAAGGACAGAGGTGACACAATCTGTGTGGGAAACTGTTCCTGTGTTGCACTACTTGCTTTGTTAAAAAACTTTTCCTAACACCCAGCATAAGCTTTCCAGACTGCAGTCTGAGGCCATTGCCCATAGTTTTATTGTCTGGCACCACCAAGAAAATTTAACTCTATCTTTGTAACACCTCTGTCCAGTAGTTGTGGGAAGCTCCTGGATCATTCCTTAGCCTCCATTTCATCAGGACAGGCAAGCCAAGCTTGATCTCTACTCATTGGTCTTATATTCTAGATCACTGAGTCTTCCAGTGATCTACATGTCAGTATAAAAATGTGTAGCAGATGTAGAGTTTGCCAGCCTTTCATAAAGCAGGTGGCAAAGAACAGGAACAGTGCTGAACAAATTCGTGTTTTCTTCTACTTCTTACAATGTTATTTGAAATTCTAACTGAAGTAATTCAGAGTTTATTGGTATTTTAAAATCCTCTAGCAGCATAACTTTTCTTAAGTGCTTTGAACTTGGTAGCATTTTTAAATGTCAGTGTGTCAAAATGGTATGATTTGGTATGAGTTTCATGCCAGTTTCAGCTTTGTAAAGTTGTTGCTTCAGATCATCCACAAGTTTTTAAGACTTGTTATTTAACTAATTGGCTCAATAATAAGGCATTAATTGCTGTACTCATTTTTCCCTGAATATCTCAACCCCTTTGTGGGAAGGGTATGTTTGATATTTTGGGGAACTGATCTAGTTCCAGTGGGTTATTGGAAGAGCAATGTTGAAGGTGTTTGTCCCATAATGCTTTTGAGTTCCAACACAACACAGATCCTGTGTCTGTGGTGCGCTGCAGCTAAGTTCTTCGTTAAAGCTATTCAGATGCCAGAGTATCTTTCTGCTCCTGGGCATTTGTCAGTGAACGGAACTGGGGAAAGGTAGACAGCACTTAGAGTTTACAAGGTGACTTGTTGGCATCTGAGTATTACTGAGTAATATTGACTTAATGTTGTCTTGGTGATTTTTTTTTTTGGTTGGTGGTTTTTTTTTGTTTTTTTTTTTTTTCCCAAAGCATGTTTTTGGTGGTTAGCTTTCAGGGTAATGTGCAAACTGATGTTTGTGAACTTTCACTCTTTCTTCTTAATATGAATGCTTTAAGTGATCAATAAAAATTATTTCATCACATAAATTAGTCATTCACATTATTGGGAGTAGTAATTGATAATGTGCAGGACTTCAGTAACATTACTTTTAATTATCTATTTTAATTAAGAAACTTGCTTCCTTGCGGCTCTGTTATGAGTTGAACTCTTAACCGGCCTGTGAGAATTTTTTTTTTTGAGTCCTAGTCAACTACCCTGTTGCTAGTTCAGCTGTAGTAATTCTGTGATCCTTAGCCTTGGCTTGCAGCCCATAGATTGGGGCACTATTTACCTTCATGAGAGTTTTACAAGATTAAACTTCATTAATGCTCTTTTAAAATTAGGGTAAGTATTTATCTTCTAGAGCTAGGTAGCATAGAAAAGACAGAACTGCTGTAGCAGACTCCTTGATTTTGTCTGCTCATGTTGTTTGTAAAGTTACCAAAAAAATCTCCAACCACCCCACAAACAAAAACTCTTTTGTTTAAAGAGTACTACTGCTATTTCTCCAAATTTAAACTTAAAATTATTCATTCTCTTTATAGGAAAAAGAGCAAAAAAACCACCCCCACCTTAAAATGGAAACATTTTAAAGATTAAATATATGTTTATTCCACTTGATTTTTATTTTTATTTCTTTGTTTTTCTTTCTCCAGAGCAGTACCTCTTTTGGGATACCTACCTCAGGACTTAATAGGAACACCAGTCTTGGTGCATCTTCACCCAAATGACAGACCTTTAATGCTAGCAATTCACAAAAAAAGTATGTAATCTCTTACTGTGGCAGAAATACAATTTTTTCCCTAAAAGTTAAAAATAATGACTACAAGGACCTCAGCAAGTAGGAGGTGAAAATTAAGTGTGACTGAATTTTTATGCAAGCAAATACTGAATTCTTTACTGTACAACTCCATTCTTAATGGAAAGAGATGAAAACATGAAATCACTCAATTTCATGTTTTATATGAAGCATGTGTCTGCTGTAAACAAATTGACTGCAAATTAATATTTCATACATAAAGAAAATTTTCTTGAGAATGCAGTGATAGAAGTTGTCATACTTTAAATGATAATCTTTCTTATTTCACAGAGAAGAGGAGCCATTCTGGCAGTGTTAATTTGTTAAACTTTGAAAATGTAAAGCTGTTTCTTCAGTCATCTCTTGTGTTCTGAAGGTGATTTTCTTGACGTAATCCAGTAAATTATGAAGGTCTGCTTATTCTGGAAGCTCAGAATTTCTAAATGTACAGATGTATCTGGTATTTGTTCCTTCAAATATCATCTTCCTCCTTTACAATTCCATGTAAAATCCCAAATCATTAAGTGGAATTGTGCAAATATTAATCTGAAATTTGTTTTTGAATCATCCATTACAGTACTTCAGTATGGAGGACAGCCTTTTGACTATTCACCAATCAGGTTTTGCACCAGAAATGGAGATTATATAACCATGGACACTAGCTGGTCCAGTTTCATTAACCCTTGGAGTCGAAAAGTTTCCTTTATTATTGGAAGACACAAAGTTAGGACGTAAGTCAATAAACTGTTGGGACTTTAAGATATTTTTTTTAAAATTTATTTTTCTTTTCCCTCCCCTCGGGTTTACAGAGTGATCCTTAAGAAAGACATAAGGGATTTTAGGGCAGGGGGATCACACACATACAAATTGCTTCCTTTTCAAATTTGAGGTTGTGATGTAGTAACTGCTTTAAAAAAGAAATTGAAGTCCTTCAAATTCTGCCACTGCTTTCAATGCTTCAGAAGAGGGAAGTCATGCTCAAAGTGAGTAAGGGTGTCGATTTTATCAGATTCAAAGGTTGTAGATGCAATAGAATAAGCATCAGATTCTGTTTACTCTATATAGATAGTAAATTGAAGTTGTAGTCTTCCTGTGATTGAAGTACTTGCATTTGTAATGAGCTGGGATATGTTTGGTTTATGCAGGGGTCCCTTAAATGAAGATGTCTTTGCCGCTCCCAACTATACAGAGGATAGAATCCTTCATCCCAGTGTTCAGGAAATCACTGAGCAAATATATCGGCTATTATTGCAGGTACGGAATGTGCTTTAATGTTACCCTTTTCATTTCACACTGAGAAAGGACATTTATCTTTGTATGACGTTTTGTTTAGCGGTCTACTACTGTACTGGAATTTCTGGCTACAGTCCTGGAAATTACTTAATTCACGATTACCAGACAAGACTTACTGAAGTATGTTAAAGCTGCAGTTGGTATTTTAAGGATTTCATGCAGCTATGGAGTCCTCAGAAAAAAAAAAACACCAACCAACCAAAACCCCACAAAAAACAAACCCCAAAAAACCCAAACCTAAAATAAATTCTTTTTTCCTCACATGGAATTACTGGTAACAATTTCAGTTTTGTTTCAAGCTGGTATGCTGAGGTGTGTGTGTACACACACATATATGTACACATATACATATTTTTTGTTATTGTTGTTAACAGCCCGTACACAACAGTGGATCCAGTGGCTATGGAAGTCTAGGTAGCAATGGCTCTCATGAGCACTTAATGAGCGTGGCATCCTCCAGCGACAGCACAGGAAATAACAATGAAGACACTCATAAGGATAAACCAGTAGGTTTGGTTTTTCTTATTCAAATATGTGGCACAAAAGAAACTAGTGAATGTGGGATTTTTTTTTAATTTTAGCATAAATTAGGGATGGAAGAAAATATAAGGAAAAGGTGATCTTTCCTTTTTGTTTAACATGGAAAAAAACTTTCTTTCTGGGGGAATAAACATTTATGGGATAGATAAAGTCTCAGGGTACTGAAGCGGTTATAGGCATGAAAGTTGGTGTGTGTAAAGAATTTAAACCTGTACAGTGTATTAACTTATTCTAATGCCCATTATATGTTATATGCTGTGTTTATGGGGAAAACCAGATGGATATTTGAAAGCAGTTTCTTTTGGGAGGAGAAAGCCTGTAATTACTGTTTTCCCAAATGAAACTAAGAAGATAAAATGCAATAATAACTGCATAACCAAGTGATAGCTTGACCTTGATCACTTCTTATGTTGCAAAAATACACTATATAAGATTGAATTAAATAAATGGAATGGAATAAAATTTAAAATTTTTTGAGCTTAAAACTTAACTTTATTGTAGATTGGGCCACTGCTACATCTAGCTGATAGCAAGATGTAATTTTTTTGTTTCCATTAGTCTGAACAAAACAGCAGCATTACATTTGTGCCTGTGCTTAACAGAATTATTCCACAGGCAAAGTAAATCAGATGGACAGTAATGTACTGAATGTGGATGCAGTCAAAGGAACTGCACCTTTTAACATCTCTAGTCATGTTGGCTTTCCTGTCATTCTTCCCAAATTTGTTGTAGCTCATTGAGTTGCATTTAATTCTGAAAGCCAAAATTTTCCTTTATTTAATTATATTGCTTATAGGCTAATTCTCCCAAATCTGATTTCTGCTTCTGTGATCAGTCATGGCAGACTACTGCTATTGGCAAGGTGGTCACTTTCCTGGCTTTCAGTCCTTAAACACTAGTGGCTTAAGCACACTCTGGATGTTTTTGTTTAACAGATAACTTACTACATTTCAGAGCTATGCAGAAAAGTAATGTTTAAGGAGATCTTGGTTTTGAGGGGAATAGATACCTATCTTTCAGTATTTCCAGATAGTGAAGACTGTTATAATATAGTTCTATAACATCTTGTCAGTGCTTGGTTAAACTTCTAGCACAAAAAGTTCTCAGTCTTAGCAGCACTAATTTGTTTCCTGAGTGATGCTGTTTCATGTTGTTTGGGGTTTTTTTTGAACTCTTGTTTGTAATATATCTTTATATTTTCCTATCCAAGTCATTCAACCATATTAAACAAAATACAGAGTAATTGTGTACAAAAGCCATACTATAAATTTCTTCTGTTTCCAATTCCCAAAATTCTGCTGCTGCACAGTAAAATTCTAATCAGGATTTCTCCCTTGATCAGACTAATTGTAAGATAGGCATTAACTAAGGTTTGATTTAGTCTACTGAGGAATCACTATGCATGTTGATTTAGTCTACTGAGGAATCACTATGCATGATGTTTTATGTCAGAATTTTTTAATAACTCTTTTTAATGACCTGCTTTCAGGAGGTTTGTCAAGATGCCCGTAAGGTCAAAAATAAAGGACAGCATATTTTCACTGACAATAAAGCAAAACTGGGATGTAAGAGAGAGCCTCTTGGAGGTAAGACATTATCAAGTTAGTTAAGTATTAGTCTATTGTGTTGGTGCCTCATACAATATGACAGTAAGATTTGTTTCTAGTTTAGTTCTAATCAATGCATAAAGACAACATTTTTATAAATTAAAATTATTTTATCCTGTGTCTCACCACTGGGTTCAGAAAAATACTGTGTTCAGCTATGTCTGAATTGATAATAGTATAACACACAGCTAGAGCATGTCTTAAAGCTGTTGTTTTGAAGTACCTTAATTGTAATTCATGTTTTCATACAAGTCAAGTGTCATCTTTTCTGTTGGGTGGAGGAAAATGTTATGGATGTTGTCTTTCCTGTTCGCATTGTAACTCCAGGAATTTTTAAGTTGATAAATGAAAAATCTTACATTCTGCATACATTAATAGGTTATTATTCTAATACTTATAACTTATGGGCACTAGAGTCGTCCTCATAGTGTGTTTCAACTCTAACGATATCTATTCTCTTATAGCCATAATATCTATTCCCTTTGGAATATGCATCAACTTAACTAAACTTTACACCTCCAAGAATCCATAGGAACAGGAAGATATTTACACAACGTTCATCTATTAAAGCGCAAACTTCTTACATGCTTTGCAGTGGTTAACTTGTGACCTGTTAAGAAATATGTATAAACAAGAACTTTTACTGTTGCTTTTAGGGGAATTCGCAAGGATTTAATGCCGTAATTGCATAATAGCAGTACTTCTTTTCACAGAAAAACAAAATGGTCCTGGTGGTCAGGTGAAAGATGCAGTGGGAAAGGACACTGCAGTAACAGCTGTTCCTAAAAATGTGACTACTGAAGAGTTGGCTTGGAAAGAACAGCCTGTGTATTCTTATCAACAGATTAGCTGTTTGGACAGTGTCATCAGGTAAGCAACCAGGGTGTAAATTACTCTTAACATCTAGACTTAAGATTTGCATATCTAATATTGTTAAATCATTGTATGTTAGGTACTTGGAGAGTTGTAACGTGCCTGGTACAGCAAAAAGAAAATGTGAACCTTCATCGAGTGTTGCATCACTGAATTCTGGAGTTCATGAACAAAAACCAGCTGATAACGCTATACAGCCCTTGGGAGGTATCTCTACATCATAGCTTTTTCTTGATTGAAAAGACTAAATGCTGATTCAACCTTGTCATGATATGAGGCTGAAGGGGAAGTGTCTAGTGGAGTTTCTCAGAAATTGGTCTTGGGAATGATCTCATCTGTATTTGCTTTTGAGCTTCAAAAAAGTTCTAATGCAGCTTTTAGAATCAAATTGGAAGGTATCAGTATATATAGGAACAAAGTGTCCTGTAGAAGGAATTGAAATGCCTTGAGAACTGGAGAGGAGGAAATGGTAAAACTAGAATCATGCAATTAGGAACACAATTTCTACTGTCATTTGGAGTTTATGCAGTTCTAGCTGATGGGAGAAGATGTGTGTTGACTAGCTCTTTGGTGCACCGATCACTGAGAACAATGAAGTCACCAGCATACTCTAGTCGGGAAAAAGGCAAACTTAAGGTCTTAAATATGTGTTATGCCAAGTACTCCTGCTGGAGAAGGAATGTTTTAATGCTGTTTCATGAGGCACTGGTATGACCTCTGCTGGATTATTGTGTACAGTTTTCAAGTGAGAGAATTTAAATAGGTGGATGCTCAGAGCAAAGCTGTTAAGATAACCAGCTAATGACAGAGATTAGTGTAAAACAATTTGGGAGCTGGGCTGGTCTTAATCTCAGGCTGGAAGAGGCTAGAAATGTTTTCCAAAATTTTGCCATGAAAGAACGGTGAAGACCAGTAAAGAACAAAAAGTTCTGAATTGAAAAGATTTGGTTTGGCTGTATGTGAAAGTAGAGGATTGGATTTGGTTGCTCAGAAGTTATTCTATTCCTAAAACGTTGGTAGAATGCGTAAAGTAAATGTTTGGTTTGTGTTTTGTCAAGCACAGTTTAGCATCTCCTCTGCTGTTTTACAACCTTAGCAGCATATAACTTGTGTTTGCTCTTATGCTGAATAAACAGCAACTTTATTTCTTTTAATAGATCCTGCTGTGTTGAAGGCATCTGGTAAATCAAATGGTCCCCCGGTGGTTGGTGCTCACTTAACATCTTTGGCTTTACCTGGCAAGCCTGAAAGCGTTGTCTCTCTCACAAGTCAGTGCAGCTACAGTAGCACCATTGTTCATGTTGGAGACAAAAAAACACAACCTGAACTAGGTATGATTTTGCTAATAAATTTTCTCTAAAATGGTGATTGCTAGCAAGTTTAAATTTCAGATGTGTAAACAGCTAGTATCTGCTTGTGACTTGCATTTCCATAGGAACATTTTAGCTGTAAGAATGTAATAAATAGGGGCAGAATTTGTATCTTAAACTTACAGTAAAATTATTACAGAATTGTAATAGCTTAAAAATGCATATATAGAGCTGCTTCATCCTGATTTATTTTTTCCTCCTATTTCTGTAGAAATGATAGAAGATGGTCCAAGTGGAGCAGAACTCCTAGATGGCCAACTTCTTGCCCCTCCATCCAGCTCTGCGCATGTAAATCAAGAAAAGGAGCCATTTAAAAAACTGGGTCTTACAAAGGAAGTCCTTGCAGTGCATACACAAAAAGAGGAACAGAGCTTTTTGAATAAGTTTAAAGAAATCAAGAGATTTAATATTTTTCAGTCCCACTGCAATTACTATTTACAAGATAAACCAAAAGGACGGCCTGGTGAACGTGGTATGGCAATAGTTTTCACAATAAAACTTGTATTTATATAGAAAGTAAATCCAGTTGAGAGGGCACTTCCATTTTTAGCTGTATTGTGGGGCCACTGTGAATAGTGACAGTTGCATGCCATTTTTAAAGTCCACAGAAAAATTATTTCTGATAAGTCTTGCTTGAAGATTGAGAGTGGAATATAGCTTTTAATGTAATAATGAACATTTTAGTAACAAATGTTTTGATTTTTATCTGTTCACTATACTACTACTGTCACGTATCTACTTTCAAGGGACAAAACCCATGCTCTAGCATGTTTGTTTTACTGTATGCTTGTATTCCCTTGCTTTTCTTTTCCTTCTGTCTTTCCATCTGTCTTTTTTCAGATTTGTGGTTTTGTTTTGTTTTCAGCCCCTCTACTTTACATCCAGTTCTCCCCATTCTGCTATTGTGTAATCAGTGAAGCAATCTGTTTCACTGCTTTTAAGTTAATAATGTGATCGGTGGAATGGAAATGGCACAGACTAGCCGTAATAGCGAGATTATTTTTTTTTTGTTTATTAGGACTAGGAACTCCAAATGCATTTTCAGAAGTGCTTGATTCTGATCTGACTTTGTTCCCATTTCAGTCTTGACTTGACTTGAAACAGAAGTCAGACACGGCTAAGCATTTCTTGCAGATTCTTATCTTTCATTTTTTATTTAAATAGCTATGCAGATCCTTGATGTAGGAAACCTGTTCTGGAACCCTTTAGTCCCCTTGCACTCTTTATGCTCTATAAACTTTCAGCCTATCTAAATAAGCTTTAGACAAACAAAAAGTTTGAACAGATTTTAGTGCCAGAAGATACTTTATGGATTTCCTCATGTCTGTAATCAGATGAACAGACAGCCTTCACCTAGGGGAGGTGCTTGGTGCAGACTTCTCCTAAAATAAGCTTGCAAGGGTAGCATGCTTTTTTTTCTCCCCTCAGGACATTCTCTTCTTTATGTGTATTTTCTCTCCTGCTTTTTTTTGGTCACCTTTTCAGTTATGGACCTGCATGACCTTAACTCTCTGGAAATGCTTTCAGTCATATCCCATACTGCTTTCATTGTAATTGCTGGAATAATTAGAAGTTTGCCCCTCTGGGAGCCACTGTTTGGCAGCTTTGTGATGTTTGGGTGACACACATCTGAGCCTAAATTGATCCATTGCTGCCCTCTTTTCTTCCATGGTGTGTCAGCATGGTTTTCATTGCCCAGTTAGCTCAGCTCTTGTGCTAGAGGTAAAAGTGAACCTGACTCCTTTCATTTGCATAAGCTAAGTCCAGAGCTGTGGTTTTGAGCAACTTATAGGGAAGACAAAGTGGAAGGGCTCCATCAGATTGCAAGTAGGATCCTTCCTGATGTGGTGGGGGTTTTTTGTGTGTTTTGCAGGTGGCCGTGGACAAAGAAATGGCACTTCTGGAATGGATCAGCCTTGGAAGAAAAGTGGAAAGAACAGGAAATCAAAGTGCATTAAACCACAGGAGTCTTCAGACAGTACAACTTCTGGAACTAAATTCCCCCATCGGTTCCCTCTTCAAGGTTTAAATGCTACTGCTTGGTCACCATCAGAGACTTCACAAGCAAGCTATTCAGCGATGTCTTTTCCCACTGTTATGCCTGCATATCCACTTCCTGTTTTTCCAGCAGGAGGGACTGTGCCACCAGCTCCTGAGACTTCACTCTCTGGTTTTAATCAGTTGCCAGACTCTGGAAATACTTGCCCTATGCAACCATCCCAGTTCTCTGCACCCCTCATGACACCTGTCGTAGCTCTTGTGCTCCCCAACTATGTCTACCCAGAGATGAACAATAACTTGCCTCAAACGCTTTACCACAGCCAACCCAACTTTCCTGCCCATTCCACTTTCTCTTCACAGACAGTATTTCCGTCACAGCCACCATTCGCTACACCCAGCCCTTTCCCACAACAGGCGTTTTTTCCAACGCAGCCATTCCATTATAATCCACCAGCAGAGAGTGAAAAGGTTGCTGTCACAGAGCCACGAAATGAGCCATCCCGTTCCTGCACTCCACAGTCAGTGGGTCCTCAAGACCAGGCTTCACCACCTCTGTTCCAGTCAAGGTGCAGTTCTCCTTTGAATCTTCTGCAGTTAGAAGAAACCTCAAAAACTGCTGAAAGTGGAGCTCCTGCGGGTTTACACGGAGCTTTAAGTGAGGAAGGAGCCATAGGCAAAATCATGACAACTGATAACTGTAGCGGAAAGGGATCCTTGCCAGTAAGTATGCTGATGGGTTTTAGGTTTTTTCTAAAGTTTTCACATTGGTGAACATATCTGAAGTTGTTAATATGCAGAGATGCCTAAAATGTTTTGGGTTTTCCCCCCTTCTCCCTGTTTTCCTGTCTCTGCCACATTGTTTTCAGTCATTTCACTTGTGGGATCTATTTTTTAATGATAGATGGTAATCGGTCAATATAATGCCAGGAGGTGGACTGACAATTGTACTCAGTAAATTCAAACTTCAGCAGACTGAATAAAGCATGAAATCCAATAATTAGAATAGTCACACTTTTAAAAATTAAAGCTACCTTGTTGTTCTTCTAAAGTTACACTAGGAAGCTTGGAAATACATCATGAAACAGTTTTGTTCAACTTTTTTTTTTAAGTATGAATATGCATAAGCCTATTGTGAAAAGCACTGAAACAGATTTAAAATAATAGGAGCGCTTTATTTTTAGCAAAAAGTTTTGGGCTAGTGAATTTGTGTGGAGGGGAGAAACAATCTATAAGTGGTCTGAAAGAAGCTGATTTATTTGGTGCACTAAAACTATGCTAATCTGTTTGGTAACTTCAGGGGTTTTTATTTCCTGATGCATTCCACTTTCGACAAATCAGTTTAACAAATAACGTTACAGAAAGTTCAGATGGAATAATATGTCTGTAAAGGTTTCTATGACAGAAAGATGTAGACTAATATTAGTGTTTTCTAAAGGCCCGATAGAGCATCTTTGTAAATGCAAAGTGCGCGATGGGATGGAGTTGCAACCTAAACCTTTTAGACTGGCTCCTTTCTCCCTCCTGCTTTTCTTGTTCTGTGGTTTTTAACTGGTCTTTGCATCTAATGGTGCAGTTACAAAGTAGAACTTGGGTGCACTGCTGATAAAAAGAAAGCAGGCAATGGAAGAGGTGGCTTTTAATTTTAGGCATGTCTGAGAACAAATACATTTGGTTTTCATTTAAAAAAAAATCTGTATCATACTAGCTGTGTAAATGCCACTTACAGAGAAATTTTCAGGGATTTATGCATCCAGGGCCTTATTTGGACAAATGTATTCTGTGCACTACATAACATCTCTGCAATGTTATCTCTGACTTGTGCTGTGGTATAACAGTGCATCTTACAGCATGCTCTGAGATGCCTCTGCTGTATTAAAAGAAGGTTGATAACAAAACTTAATAGTAACAATTTTGCTGGAAAATTCTTTTCAATTTCTTCAAGCTGTTAGTTCCTATTCTTTGGAAACCTGCAAAATGTAACTTTCAGTAATTTCCTTATCACTTCCTGGACAATGAGGGCAATATGGGCATTTGTTCAGGAGTGTGTTAAGGATAAAGCTAATTCTTTCCATTATTACGTATTTTGCTAAGTTTTGTCAACCTTAATTTCAAATAGTCAGTCTTCAAACTGACTTGCAGTGAGGTTTTGCTTATGTTAGAAATCAACATAGTTAATGCTTTTTCCCTTAAAAACATACAAATAAATTATTGTGCCTTGGAAGCTTGCATATGGGAACACCTTTCTTCTCATCATGCATTGAGAGTAGTAACAGTGATGGACTGTTGATGCAAATCTTTGACGTACATTGTAGTAGGAGCAATTGCTAGTATGTCTTAGATGGCTTGGGTAATTCTGACTTGTCCAGGACAGTAGCGGCTGTCAAAGCTGAATAGCAAATGCCCTCCTTACTTCCTCACTAAGCTATGTTTATTTTTCTTAACAGAAATTGGATTGAAATCTCAATCTTACTGAAGGACCACTTCTCTGCCTATCAGTTCATTATTCCTCAGCTGGTCTCTGCATATGGCATATGTTATTGGTGGTTGTCTGTCTTTGAATAACTGTGTAAACATATTAGAATATAAAGTGAAATGCATTAATGCTAAATGTAAATGATTAGTAATGAAATAGCCTTGGTTTTGGTTTTTTATTTTATTTTTTTCCCCTTCCCCTTCTTATCACTAGGCTGAATCTCCAATGGATGCTCAAAATAGCGATGCACTCTCCATGTCTAGTGTCCTGCTTGACATTTTACTTCAAGAAGATGCGTGTTCAGGCACTGGCTCAGCTTCTTCAGGGAGTGGTGTATCTGCAGCTGCTGAGTCTCTGGGGTCTGGATCCAATGGCTGTGGCATGTCAGGGAGCAGAACAGGTAACACTGGCAGCGAGTACTCTCTTAGTTTAGAGTTGGAGCGTGAGGTATTGCAAACACCACTTGAACATCAAGTGTTTTATGTAAAAATCTCTATTGTCTTTAATCCTCATTGCATAGTTTATTCTTGATTTATTTTTTTATTACACAACATGAAAGTTTTTTCTATTTATTGATTTACAGTATAGAACCTTTTTTTAAGTGTGTGTAAAATAGACATTAAGTTGCTATGTAGGTATGACAGATACGGTTCTCCTTCATGTTTCATTTCAGAGTCTTTAAGCTAATTATTCTGTTGAAATTTAATGTAGACTTAGCTTGTGAATTTGAGTTTTAAAAATATTAATGCAGTTACTTAGGGGTGGAAGTTCCCTCTGTTTAAAAAATGAAATAAAATAGTGACTGTATTTATGCTTTCAGTTTTTTTTAATCTTGCCTATTTTCAAAAGTATTCACATAATCTATGTATTTGACAATTTATAATGAAACTTTAAATTTCTTTTTAAAGGTAGTAGTGAAACTAGTCATACCAGCAAATACTTTGGGAGTATTGATTCCTCAGAAAATCATCATAAAACCAAAATGAAGGCAGAAATGGAAGAAAGTGAGCACTTCATTAAATATGTCCTTCAGGATCCTATATGGCTTTTAATGGCAAACACAGATGACACTGTTATGATGACTTACCAGATACCTTCACGGTAATTCAAATGTCATAGTCCTTCATGAATTTTATATATGTTGGGGGGAGCAGGATCTACAGAAGGAAAGATATATATGAATATCTGTCTCAATAGAAGTAAATTGGTTTTAATGTTTAGCTCGGTGTCAAGACGAATTCTTGCTTCCTTTACATCTTTTGTATATTACACAAGAAGTTCTCAAAAAGTAAAAATTATTTGATGAGGCATACCTGGATTTTTAGATCAATTACCTGAGTTGAAATTAACTGTGTATATTTTTTTTTAAGCTGTTTTACAGTTAGTGATTTGTAACTACTTGCCTGGAAACCCTTGTAGTCTGATTAATAGATCCTGGCGAGTATGCTTAGATCTAAAGATGGTTTGTAGCATGGAAAATCTTTACTCCCTGGCTGTTGTCTTTGAGATGCCACATTCAATGGTACGCTGCTTTCTCTGCCCTGTGAGTTATCTCCTGGATTGTTAACTTCCACATGTTCATTCTTCTCAATAAATTCCCATTCAAATAGGACAAGGAAGTAGAAGGTAAAAATAATAAGGTTTCTAATAGAAAAAACTTAAAAAAAAATAAATAAATTCCTGCTTCAATAGCAAAGAGTAGATGTAGGGGGAGAGGGGGTGACAAGTCTCCGGACTTTTTTTTTTAATCTTCTTGTTTATATTTCTTGGGAGCAGTGAGTGATATTTTGAAAGGAATAAGAAGTCTCAGTAAAGACAAGCCTTCTGAAAGGGAAGGAAAACAAGCTTTCAAAATACAGAAGCACAGGGATGATGGGGGGCAGAAATAGAGAACATATCATAAAAACCTTAGAATTTTTCCCTATAATTAAAAATACCCTGGCATTTCTCAGTTTTTGTAGCCTGAAGGGTTGACAACTATAGATGGGAATTCCAGTAGACTGTAAGAGTAGCAAAGCCTGCCAAAGAGAACATAGTATAAAACAGGATATTGTGGTAAGAAGAGTTAAGCTCACTGTCAGAACGTGATGCTCAAGAAGAGAAGTGTAAAGCCAACCTGTTCTTAGGTATGCTGTCAGGAACAGAAATAGTACTGGGTTTCTTGGAACTTGCTTTCTATTGTCATCTTTTATAGAGGTATGCAGCCTGTAAATGTTTGATGTGGTGTGGGTTTTTAAAGTTTCTGAATCAAGATGGGGCATTGCGGGGGAGGGAGAGAATGGCTGCTGAAATAGAGCAGTGTTTTCTAAATCTCTCCCTCTCAGTCTAGAAGTTTAATCCATTCTTGATGACCTTCTTAAACATATCTTATTCTGCTTTATTATCTCATGTGCATCTAGTGTCTGTTCTGGGTTGTCCTCCCAGTGAAGGAACTCAGAACTTACTGCAGCAGCAGAGGGAAACTGGAGCTCTTGATGGTTTCACTGGTGGTGCTGCCTGAATAGCTCTAAGAAAACTGTTTTCACTGATGGGATTTGAAAAGACAATGAGCCAGCAAAGATGCATTAAATTTGTCTGCAAATGCAGAAAGCTGCTGAAATAACCACACTTAATTTTCTTCCAATATAAGATTTGTAAGCTTAACATTCCAGAAAAAAAATAGTCTTTAAAAATGTTATTTGACTGTGTAACCTTATATAGGCATAAATCCCAGAAACGGTTGAAGCTCAATTTCTAAATAAATTTTATTTTAGAGATTTGGAAACAGTTTTAAAAGAAGATAAGCAGAAGTTAAAGCAAATGCAGAAACTACAGCCAAAATTTACAGAAGAACAAAAAAGAGAGCTTATTGAAGTTCATCCATGGATCCAGCAAGGTGGACTGCCAAAAACTGTTGCTAATTCTGTAAGTTTAAATGAGTTACTTTTGCATGTACAACAGTGCTTAAATTATTAGCTGCCTATGTTAGATTCTTCCATTCCTGTTGCTATGAAAGCTGGGTCAATTACGTAGGGGAAAAAAATTAATTCAAACTTCTATGCAGTGGTTTCTAGCTTGATTTAATTTACTGTAAGTCATCTTTCCGATGGGAAAGTCAAAGTAGCAGTGAATACAGTATAAGAAATTTTCTTCCTATTTCTAAATTTCTGTGTATCTGTTTGAAATCATTTATCAACAGAGCCAGAAACTTCACTACATAAAAAATTTTTATTTTGTGCGCAGAAACTTATGCCCATTGCTTTCTAGAAAGTACAAAATTAATGGGAGTACACTGTTCCTTTTTTCTGTCAGAATTCTTATGTGGGATCATGTCTTGCCTTGATTCTATAAGTGGATTAATGGCTTGAAAAGCAAAGAAGAAAGTAAAACAAAGCATCCTTGCAGTTTTATTTTGTTGTCTGTGTGTTTTACTTATTCACGCTCAAATACCTGATTGCATTTTCTTTTCCCTAAGCTTTCCATCATTTGTAGCTTTTATGCATGTTCTCATGTGCAAAGGGAGCCTCTGCATTTGATTATTTGAAAAGTCAGTGTAACAGAATTGTAGTGGAATCCTAATCCTGATGTTAATGTTACTGCAACATTAATATACCATAGCATCCACCTTGTGTAAGCGTACAGCTGCTTCAGTCTCTTAAGCACTGCAACTGGCTTGAATATATTACTGCATGTAAAATGTCAGCATTATAAATGATCTATGACATAATTGCTTCCAGTAGAGTTCTCAAGTACTTGTATTGATTTACTACACATTATAAAATGATTGTCTGTGGGAAAGTTGGGGAGTGGAATATTATCTAGTAGTTGCAGTACAGATGTAAAGGTTCCCTTGGAATTGGACATTGCATGCAAATAGACTGTTGTTTGGAAAAGCTTTTTTTTTTTTTCCTTATGAGTGTTTCTATAATTTTTGTTTTTAGGAATGTATTTTTTGTGAGGACAATATACAAAGCAATTTTTATACGTCATACGATGAAGAAATCCATGAAATGGACCTTAATGAGATGATTGAAGACAGTGGGGAAAACAACTTGGTTTCCCTGAGTCAAGTCAGTGAAGAACAAACATAGCCTTTGAGCCTGTTGTTTTCAAAGCTGCTCCAAAACTACAGTAATGATCCATAAAGGTTTTAATCTTGTATCCAGCAAGATGAATCCAGTTCATAAAAACAAATGTTTTTTCTTGCTCTAGAAGAGTAATTTGTGAATGAATCTCTTTTTAAATGGTGGCAATCTCTTCCCAGTAAGGACATTGTTGAAGATGGTATAGCTTTTCTTTAAAAAAAGAAAGACTCATATTTTGCACTTACATGCCTCAAGTATTTCTTTATAAATGATAGAAACTTTCATTGATGCCTACTGTTTTTTGTAGAGTGGGTTAATGAGTACTGAAAATCCCCTGACGTACATACGGTTCTTCAAATCTCCTTTTGGTAACGATTCAGCATTATAAATTGTTCTAGCAATTTTGCTTAGCGGCTCTTTAGCATTGTTCTTAATATTTGAAGTGGTCCAGCATAGTAGAATAAATAACCTTCAAGCAAGTCAATTCACACTTGCCCTTTTCATACCATCCACTTTGTTTCCTATAGTTTTGAATGTAGGAACCTTTTTTGTCTGAGAAATGTTGAACTAATTTTGTAAGATGGTCTTGAATTAAAACACTTATGTGAATGTGTAAGAAAGTGTAGACGAGTGCTGACAACTTTGTAGCCTTTTATTTAAATGGACACTGCAATACTATGAACTGTTTATTACCTTGAAGCATCATTTCTGAGAATTTATACACAAGAAATCTTTATGCTTAAAGATTTTAAAAACTAAGACTACAGAAGATGACTGCATATGCTCCAGTGACTGTTAGACAAAGCTTGGTATAACTTTAACCTTGATTTCTGATTTGTTCTGTCAGGAAGTTGGCCATCAGTTTTTCCTGTGTGGCTAAACAAACACCAAACTTGTATGTGGCAAGAGAGGATTAGGCATTTCTTGTTATTTGAAGATAGTTCTTAAAGAAGTGATTTTGAGAATAATGTTGACTTTCATTATGTTTAAATTGCATAATCTAAAACTTAGTGTGGCTGGAATCCTTTGCTGTCAAGGATTTAATTTTAATGACTCTGAGATTGTATTGACTTGAATATGTGTACTTTATGTTCTTGTGCTGTTTATACATGTTGGATGTGGGAAGAGAACACAAAAGAGCAACTTTAATATATTGGTTAGTTAAAGGACCTTTAGTTGCAATATTGCTAGATATCATCTGTAGGTCTTGGGGTGAAAAACGTGGAGAAATTCAATTAACTTTGATATGTCTGTCTTAAAATATTTTTCATGGAAACCATTTCCTTTTTTATTAGGATAACATTTCTATTCACTGAAATCAAAGGTTTTTTCCATTCTACAAAAATATTTCTCTTTGCATACAAAGAGGATGTGAAGTTTGATCTGACACCACCAAAAACATGCAGAAGTGACTGGTATTTGCTTAGTGGAAGAAATAATTTGTGTAAAGCAATTAGGTATTAACTGGCCAGTGTCATGAGGAAATTTACATTGGAGACAGGTTCTGCAGATAGCAGAGTGTGTGAACTTGTGAAACAAGTAGAATCACAATTTAAAAAACAAGTATCTTAAATGTAGTGTGAAGCACTACCCAGCAAGATCTGATTCTTGTCTTTAATAGTTTAGCAAGGTCAAACTTAAATATATGTAAATATAAACCGAATGAGAAATTTTAAAATGTTGGTGTTCAAGTCCAATGTATTAAATGTTTAATCATAAATGGAACAGTGCAGCTATACCAACATATTAAATATATTCCATTTTTACATGTAAACACAAAGAGTTTTAATTGGACCAGGGTTTGGGAAAAATAAAAGCTTTATATAAAGGAGTGCATCATAATTATACAAATTATTTTCAGGGACTTCTCAACCACTTTCAACTTATTTGCTTTAGCATGCTTTTTTCTTTTTTCTTTTTTTAAATTTGTTCTCCTTTTTTTTATGACCATCTTGTAACCATAACTTAGTGAAAGGAAGAGAAAAGTATATTTAGAGCATTTTGTGGATGTGCTTACTTATGGACTTAATCTTGCATCCTTAAAGTGTTTGCATTTACAGGGTGGTATTAAAATATTTTCCTGTAACTTTAAATCTACATGCCTCCATTTATAGATAAGATTCTGAAGCTGTAATTTTCCAAACTGTTGTAAGATGATTTATTTGTGATGATGCTTTGTCAACATGTCAACAATGTTTTCTGTACACTGTGCAATATATTTTGGTTTTGCCACTTGTGACTAATTTTTATGACTTTGCTTTTTAGAAAACCGGTAAATAAAACAGATATATTTTTAGTTGCCTTTTTGTTCCTTGAGCCTTCTACTCCATGCAAGAAGCAAAAAATATATGCATTATTGATAGTATGTGAACTGGTATTTCAGACTGAAGAACTCGCAAGCTATGAAGTTAATTGTGTCCTGAAGTAAAATTGTTGCCAGCTTGTCTGACCTGTAAGTCTAGTGGTCAAATGAAAGATTGAATTTTTATATTGTCTAGTTGTTCTGAAAAAGTACAAAGTTACTATCTGAAAGAGCTTATGCAACTGGGTTCTCTGTGCGTTGTTCAAACCCATGAGAAGACACATTGTCCTTTTATTTAATGTCAGCTATGGATACCTCTTCTCCTGCAGCCTGTGGTTTTATACTGGTAGCTTAGAGGTAGAGAATTCCAGTTACGCCCCTTGAATTTGCTTTGTAGTCTTCTGTCATGGTGTGAAGTGTCATGTCTTCCCAGGATTGCTGAAACTCATCAAGCTAGTGTACTTTCCTGTTGATGTTCTTGATATATATTCTGATGCATGGAGAAAGTGGAGAGGCTTGAAGTCTTTCTCACTTTGAGCAGTGATGTAGTTTAGTGGGTGAGGGATGCTGCTTTGGATTGCCCCTCCAGTTTAGGATGTACTCAGGTTATGAGACCCTCATTAGGCCTTTCTTTCCATGACTGCATTTTGATAGGTTTGTAGTTTTTTAAAACAGAACAAGCTAGTGCAAACCCTAGTTTGGTCATGAGGGAACCAGATACTTCTGTGAGCTGCAAAATGAAGGTGTTTCTGTACCACAAAGCAGTTCACTGCACAGGTGAATTGCCTTTACAGCAAGGGTAGAATTGTCATGTCGTGCACTGTGTTGCTGAGATGTGCATTTTAAAGCATGCTTGTTCAACGCGTTCCTTTGAAGTCTTCTGAATTGGCCCTAACTATATGAGTAGTTCTGTGTATGTGAAGTCTGAAAACACTTTTATCCTAATAGCACCTTGGTTCCTTGCTTAGCTAAAGATGCAGAGGAGCGATGTATTGATGAAGCAGTTTACAGAACTACAAATCTGCCATACACAGGGTATCTGTGCAACTCAGCAGAGAAGGTATTGTGCTACATTATGTTTGGATGTAAGTTTTGATATATAACGTTGGGAGAACTGAAGTGCTGCTGATGCAATAAATTACCAGGTAATGTTTCACAGTTATTTCTGCTTCCAGTAATTTTTTGCAGTCATAAATGTAGTAAGAGTACAAGTTAAACGTGGCTTCAGGTATTCACATACTCCTCCTTGGTGATGTGCACTCTGTCAGCGTTCAAAGATAATGGCTTGCTTCACACTGTAGAATTGCTGGGAACTGTCTTTTGTCAGAGAGGGTTTCTCCCACCTCAGTAGCCCCTAGGCGTCACTGGTGTCCTGTGATTCTGTTTGACAGTTTTGCCGCCCCTGTTTTTCTTCTATTGATCTTCTTGTATTTTGGGGCTATTGAGTTTGCTATGACATTATTTGATGTAAAGGGAAAGATCTGTGGCTTGAATTTCAAATAAGATTATGAGAAAACTCATAATGAAGAGTTGTTGGCCTAATGATAGTGAATGTAAATAGAAATTTTCCATTTGGAAAAGGGAAACGGACTACTGAAAAGCATCAGATTTTAGTTTAACAGCTGCCATGAATGTGGAGGGAAAAAAATGCTCTACTTGGTGAGAATTAAGATCCTTGATTGTTCTTTTGTCTCTCTAGCAAGGCTGGAAAGAACATAATGCACTGATAAGCCTCTGACTCAAAGAACAAGGTGAAATGAGTTGCATGCTTCTGGCAAAGTGACAAACGGATGACTTAAAAGGAGAATAACGTTCATAGGTGTCATTTCCAGAAATTCCAGTGTTTACTTGCTCACAAATGGTTAGGAGCTTGAGAAATAATTTGATCTATCGAATGAGGTAATGAACAGCTCATCAGTTCCTTTTTCTTACGGGCTGTGTAAGAGGACAGTATTTCTAGGGGTAGGACACAAGGTGTATAACAACTTTGTCAGTGTGCTTCAACTGATCTCTTAATCATGGGTATTTCTCCTGGCATCTGCTGAAAAAATCAGAGGTACATCAGGCTGCTATGTGCAATAGCAGTGTGTGTGATGGGGTTTCTGTCATTCTAAGTATTTCTGTCCTGAGGTCCACTGTCCTGAGGCACTATGAAAGAGCAGTTCAGGTGGTGGGCCCTTTGCTTTCTGGTATTACTCACAGGATGTGTGTCTATACCTGTAAAAAAAAAAAACCAAAAACAAAACCAAAAAAACCCCAAAACCAAACCCACGCAACCAAAAAACCCCCGCTGTTGTCAGCACTGGATTAACCAAGATGAGCCGTGCTTTGGCAGAACTGTGATGCATTTCCAGTGACGAGTACAGTGATTTCTGTGTAATAAAGAATGGGGAAATGAATAGTAAGACAGTTCTCGAGCATCTGCCAGGTGTAGGTGGCTTGGTGGGGTTGCCTGTACATCATCAGCCTTAGAGAGCCACACTGCTTTGCACTTCGTTTTAACTAGTTGAGACAAATCTAAGGATGGATTAAAATTTCCTGGTATTCCAGGATTTGTCAAGGTGTACTTCTCTCTCTGTAGTCTGTATGTTAATATAGTAAGACTGAATATAGTGAATTTATTGCGCTCTTTAAATTGTGATAATGGTCTAAAAGTAATCTGCTTGTGTTGCTGTTGCACTGTTAACTTCAGAAATTCTACTTCTGTCCAAGAAAGTATTTGCTATACTTTTTTTTTAAATGTATTTGGCCATTACTTGTCTAAAGTAGGTCTGCTGCTTACCCTTCTGTTGTCACCAGCTGACTCCCTTTGAAATCTCATGTGGCCTTTTTGCATAGGGGAAGCAAAAGAAAAACAAACCTGGAAACCAGAAAAAAACACCAGCAAACCAATCATAAAAGTGCTGGATACATTTAAAGCCAACTAGAGAAATACATTTGCTAATCTTTAATTTTCTTAGCTACAGGAAGCAGAAGAAGGTTTGGGTGGCCTGCGCTTGCCCCTGCTCCAATTTAGATGAGTGCTGGGACTGGAGAGGCTCAATTCTGCAGAGCCCTGGTGAGAGACTCAGCTCTTTCAACTTCCCAGGTAAGAGCCACATCCATGATGTGGGTTGTACACCGGCATTTCCACTAATGATTTAATCCGAACCATCTGTCTGTTCTGAA